CCAGCCATCGGGGCTCCTTGGTCTCGCAGGGGGCCCAGCACAAACGCCAGGGCTCTGTCCCTTGCCAAGGGCTCTCCCCGGAGCGCTGGCACACCACGTCCCGGTGCCAAGCACGGCACACTTTCCTTACCTCTTTTGTTCTGTTTGGCTTCACTTAGTTTGTGGCTCTCCTGACATTTCTGAGATTGTGATGACTTTGTAAATCAGATGTCTTAAACAAAAATGCCTGAGCAAAAGGCCATGGTGGGCTCGTGCCCTCCACTCCCCAGCCCCAGCACCGTCAGACTCCTCAGGCTCCTGAGAAATGCTGCTGCCAAAAACTGACTTTGTGTTTCGTTTATTTTTAAAGGTGCTTTGCCAGTTAGGCGAGACCCTCAAAGAGGAAAAGACGACCATGAAGGAGGCAAAAGGAGCAAACGCCAAGACTGGGCGGGACCCTGAGCAGAAACAGCCTGCAGGAATGGGCAAGGTAACTTTGGCCCCTGGCCCCTGGCTGGGGGCTCTGGGGAGGCCTGGGGGCTGCGGGGAGCTGAGCCCCCGGGCAGGGGCAGCCCCCGGGGAACCACATCCGCTCCCTCCCTCGGCAGTGCAACCTGGCCGGGTGGTGGCAGAATGACCTGGGCTCGAGGATGCACGTGTTCAGCGTGAACAGCCAGGGCGACTTCTCCGGAGAGTACCACACCGCTGTCTCGAGTGCCCAAAAGCCAATCAAGCCTTCACCCCTCTGCGGGACCCAGCACTTGGACGAGGATGGACAAAGCACGTTTGGCTTCACCGTCAACTGGAAGAGGTTTTCCGGTAGGTAGGGGCAGCGGCTCCGTGCGGATGGGAGGGGAGCACAGGCAGACCACCATCGCTTGGCCCCTCCACACACTCCCCTCCCTGCTCTGGCCAGCGTCTGTCTGTCTGCCGAGCACCCCGCAGACAGCGTGACGCATCCTGAGGCACCTCTTGCTGGGGCAGACTCCACGACCGTCTTCGTGGGCCAGTGCTTCGTGGACAACAACGAGAAAGAGATCTTGCAGACAGCCTGGCTCCTGCGACAGAAGGTCAACTCCCTCCACAGCGACTGGAAAGCCACCATGTGAGCAGCGGGATCCTTGTCCCTATGGGTGTTGGCCCATCTGCCAGGTGGGCACCAACAGGGTCTGTCATGCATGTGCTTTCCCGCAGGACCGGTCGCAACGTCTTCACTCGAATCGACTGCAAGGAAGAAGAAAAAGCCCCTCCGACGGCTTCTCTGCCACCCTAGGAGGAAAAGATGCTTTGCACAGGTATCAGCAGCACCTGCCATGAAGTATTTCTCCCTCTGCCTATCTTTTCTTGCTCTCATAGCTCAGTATTTGCTGGCTTCCCCAGCCTTGTCCGGGGGGTCCTGATGGGCCAGTCTGCAGCATCAGCTCTGTGCTGGTGCCACTGGGGACGCAGTGGGGCTCTGCTCAAACTCCTTTGAGCTTCTTCAGCAAGAAGCTTCTTGCAAACCAGGAGCTGTGCAGCCAGGACGGGAAGAGCCTCTGTGCCCCAGGACTTCTCTAGGTGCAACTTTGGCTGAGGCATTTGCTGTGCTCAGAGCAAGGGGATTAGCTCAGCAGCTCGCTGCCTCCAAACCTCATCTGTTGGGAGCAACCCCCATCCAGACATGGGGCCTTGTAGCTTCTCTGAACACTTTGGTTGCCTCATGTCAGCTCTCACGTGTCCGGAGAAATCGTGACAGAGTTGAATCTTTTCTCTGGTAAGCTCCTCACGGAGGACCTTGGAGCCGCCCCTTCATGTGCCCTCATTCCCTTTTCAGGGGGACTCGCCTGGGCTGTGCCACACCACGTGGTCTGACACATACCATCACCACCTCCACACATCAAGGCTTTTGTGGACATGCAACGCGAGTGTCTTCTTAATAATGCCTTTTTAGTGCCTTCACGGTCACCTGCAGAAGAGTCCTACAAGCAATCCCTGCCCTGGGGTGTCCCTAGATGACCTACCTGGCATGAGGATGTCCGATCCCTCTTTTGTCAGCATTGGGCACCCCCTGCCCGACTCTCCCAGCACCCAGGCTGTCTACAGGCCCCTGCACCTGCCTCCCCCGGCCTCGTTGGGCTCACACAAGGTGCTCCCCCCCCCAACCTGTGCATCTGCGGCGCAGCACCAGCACACCCACCGCCGCAGCCTCGCGCTCTCCCCTGGTGGGAAGCACGTGCAGGGGAGAGCTGCGCTTTGGTATAAGTTCTCCTCTGAGGCTGTTTTCAGCTTTGGGGAAAAAGGCTCCAAAGTGGGAATAAAATGAAGGATGTTCTCTTTAAACCCAGTGTTGTGTGTTTTGTAGCTGTATACGTTGAGAAGCCGGGTTGAAGCGCTGCTGCAGGCAGAGGGAGCAGGACGAGGTGCTCGCGCACCTTTTACTCCAGAAAGGGATTGGCCCTGAGAAAACCCCATTTCCAGCCCCAACGGGCTTTGCAACGACTGCAGAGCACTGTAGGCTGCCAAAGAGAAATGGGCCCTTGTAGAAGACAGGGAGCAGGGAAGGTCCTTGGAAGCCAGCACAGGGGAGCAGATGGGTCTACATGTGCACGCTCACAGTCTGGTTTCTCCTGTCAGGTGCTTCTTCCACCCAAGAAATTCCCCAGTTATTTTCAGTATAGATTTGCTGCTAGTGACAAATTATTTCCTGTTCAGGACACTGTGTTAGGGTCTAGCTAATGCTAATTCTTGCTTGCCCCTGCCTGGTGTTGCCGAGTCCCCTCCCCTACCAGCTCTGGGGGATGCCACCCGCAATGGGTGCTGAGCACCCTCTCCCGCTTTGACCTCTCCTCGTTTCAGTATGCCCTGACTGCTCAGTTGTCCAGCTCTGCTGTTTTTCAGTTTGCTCTGTCTGCTCTCAGACCCGAGCAGGAGCCATGCTCTGCTCACAGCCAAGGGGCACTTCTGTTCATGCGAGCCCCATCTCTGAGCATCTCACCAGGGTCTCTCAAACCACTTTCAAACACACAGCCCTGAGCTTAACAGGCTGGGATTTCAGTATTTACAATGTTATCGTTCCCTTTCGGTCCAAAACTCGCGTTTCGGTTTGTGATGGGGGGCGGGGGGTTGTGCAAATTTCGACAGGACACAAGCAGCACCTCTGAGCACAGGCTGCCTGAGCCTGCCGCCAGCCTGGGGCAGCGCTTCGAGCGGCTCCGTACAGCACAGGGCAGGAGAGGGATGGCACATCCCAGCAGCCACCATCCTGCACGAAGGGAGCTAGGGCTGGACCTGGGGCTATGCATGGGATGGGACACGTGTGATGAGAGCGTAACTCTGGGGGCCCTTTTGCAAGCCGAGCAATCTGCCTGGCGGCTGACCCGCGTCCTGGGCAGGCAGACACAGCAGCTTGCACTGTCCTCTGCTCCCGGCGAGCAGGAAGGGCTGTGCAGGACCCTGCGGCGCCTCTAGCCCCAAAACTCTGCTTCAAAGAATTAATGTCATTTACTGGAAACGGGTGGTACAGGGGGAAATGCCTTGCTGGAGAAACAAGTGCTGAAGCAAAGCTTGTTTCTTGATCCGCCCAGTTAAGGCCCAAGCAGCTGATTTCCAGGAAACTCAGTGTTAGCTGCGGACCTGAGACTTTTTTGAGCTGCCCGGCCCTGGAGCGATCCCGTCTCTGAGTGGCCAGTGAGCTGCAGGGTGTTGCCGAGCTCTCCGGCAGCCCGCAGCGCTTCGCCGCCAGCGAAGCTGCTGCCCCCTGTCACTCCCCTGGGTTTCCTGCTGCTGAGGTCTGGGAAAGGTTTATTAATAGCACCAATGGCTTTAGCAGGCTTTTCCACTTGTTTTGGCCTGCCTTGTTGTGGATTTGCAGATTGTTTGTTCTTTTTTTTTTTTTGAATGTATCTCCAGCTTCTTAAACAATGTTGTTTTCTTCGCATTGCCTCCCTTCCATCTGCACATATTACCAGCTTTTCTAGTTCTTTTACAGCCTTTCTGAAGGGAGTACCTTCATGCTGGCCCCCTACTACAGTGTTCTTAAATCTCCTGCAGTATTTCACCTTTGTGGCTGCTCTGCTGGAAGTCCCTTTCCAACAAACTTCCTCATTTTGAGATAGTATTTAGTCCAAACAGCTGCTCTACGGGAACCTGAGGATTAGAAAAGCGGGGAGCAGAGGGGAGCATGGCCGGCTCAGAGGCATCCGGTCTCGGTGCTGTGGATGCTGCGTGCAGGGCGGCTGCCGGGTTTACTGCACGCATCCTCCTGCCTGTATTAACACCGCCAGGCGAGGCTCGTGCTAGGACGCAGGCTGCCAAGGCAGAAAGGCAGCAGCCTGGGGAGCCGGCACAAGTATTTACGCACCTTAAGGCCACACTCCCATTTCTGCCCTGCCTACACCTGTCTCAGCCGCAAACACCTCACCAGTCACCTCCGTCCAACTCACGTCCATCGGCACGGCAAAGCTGAGCACCTCCCTGTGGGGTAAAACCAGCCGTTGCTCCTACATCACGTCTTCTTGGTCGCTGTCGTTCACGCGCTGCGAACCTTCGGAGAGCCGGGAGGTGGAGGTGGAAGGCCCTTTACAGAAATGCACAGCGTACTGCTGCTAGCGTGTCTGCGTCACGCAGACACTCGCAGGGAGATCATTCATTAAAAAAAATAACGAGAATATACTGGGATCTTCTTGGCATAGATTGGGATCTTCTTGGCATAGGGTGACGCTCATATGGGGGGGTCTCAAATCTCTCAGATAGGACAGTGGTGGCTGTCCAGAGAGTGACAGGAGTCCCCGTTGCAAGGGTCCTTGCAGCGGTGCCCTTACGAGGACCAGGTGAGATGCTCCAAACCGCTGCTCTGCACAGTTCCTGCCACCTTGCTGGCTGTGCTCCTCCATGACCACGCCAGTGCATGCCTGATCCATCCTTATTGATTATCTTACCTATACAGAAAATATCCCTTAAATGTCATAACCACATAGAGGAGACTGGCCTACATGACCTCTCCTGCAGGAACAAGACCCACTGACTGTTTACAAGCACCTTATCTAGGTACAATTTGATCACTCCCACAGCAGAAGCTCTGGAGGGGAGGGCCAGATTCTCCACCCAGGTTGCCAGCTCACATACTTAAAACATATGAACTGCACCAGGAAAGCAGGAGGATTGTCTGAAATTACCTCCTGGAGGATTCCCACATCCTTCAGTCAAACACTTAACTGCGATAGTCCAGAAGAAAAAAAAATCACCTGTTTCAGTGTCCAATGACTCAGTGTTCAATGATTCAGTGTTCAATGTCTCGGTGTTCAATGTCTAAGTGTGCAGTGATAATCCAGCCATTACCTCAGCGAAGCAGATAGAGCCGGGGAGTTCCTCGATCATTCAGGGAATTATGGGCTAATTCCTCCGGATGTGCACAGAGCCACAGCCCTGATACCTAGCCACACTGCTGTGATGACTGAAGAACAAAATTGATTTTTATTACTCATTTATAACTTAAGTCTTATAGCTCCTGCCGCACGGGTTGTGTCCATGTGGTTATCATTCCCATCAGCCTCTCCGGTCCGGACCAGCACTTCCTACTCAGCAGCTCTCCACACCAGAGCCGCTGCTAAAACCACCGGTGTGGAGGAAGCCTTGCTCTTCTCCTCTGCCCCTCTCCTTGAGCCGAGCCCTTTCTGCAGCCTTTCCTGGCACGGAGCTCATCTTAGGTGGTTGGGTGAGCTCCTCCGCCAGCTCCCCAGCCCTGCCCTCCCCAGCCCGCTCTGGAGACGCAAGCCACTCTGAGCCCTGATTTTGGGAAGAAGCTGGGGTTTTTTAAGGGTTTCCTTCTCAGAAAGGTGAAATCTTCACAGACAGAAAAACCTACAAAGACTGAAGGGGTTTTGCCTAAAGGGGAAAGTCAGCTCCAGCACGAGCGCACCAGGGAAGTGGAGCCGAGGCTTCCTGGGAGCCCTCTCCCTGCTGCTCCCCTGCAGCTGCCTG